TCTCCTTCTCCTCGCGGAGTGGAGACTTAGAGGCAGTACGCTTCTTTGAGGGCTTGGCGTCTTCGGCTTTAGAGGCCTTAGCGCGCGCAAGACCCTCGGCAAGCGAGAGACGTTTGCGAGGATTCTCTTCCTCATCGCCACCGGCTTTGAGAGCGTCCTTAGCCTTGACGGCCGGACACTCAGAGCGCACAGAGGTCCTAGGCCCTGTGATCACCTTGATCACTAGCGGGCGACTGCACGCTGTCATCTTTGTGTTCACTGGGCACTGGGCTGTGCCCTCCCACAGAGCCCGCAGGAGCATCATGAGTGCTCCCGGACTCGGCATCGTCCTCACTGTCCGAGTTGAACTCACGTTCTACGAACCGAGGGTTCGGACGATTGTCTGAAGATGAGGGCGACGGGCTGCGGCGCTTGCTTGCGCGCTTGTCCACAGTCGCGTCACCCGAGGAACCGATCGCCTCGGAGGCCACCTGAGTAGCCTCCTTAAGTGCAGAGCCTTTGCCGTGAGGCTTAGTGCTCTTGGTCTGCGCCTTACCGGCTGCAGCCTTGGAGCGTGTCTTAGCACCGCTCTTAGCAGTGCCACGAGGCATGTTAACAATCGAAGTGGAGACCTAGACGAAGAGCGCACAGGTTGCTGCTCGAGGCTCTAACTGTTAAGTGAGCCTCCGCCGCGCTCGTGCGGCCAAGTCGATGGTTTTCGACTTTGAGAATGAGAGTTTGTGACGAACACCTCTTCATTCTGATTGGTCGGTAAACCGAACCTAAGTGGGGGAGGATGTAACGGGGTACGTAGCCCTAAGTGTACCCTGGTTACATGAAGTGTGACACTTCACACTTCAGGAGTATGGCACGTCATACTCCGAGATATTTGGTACAAGGTACCAAGGTCGCTCAAAGCCAACCATTGGTTAAATGACATTGCATTTCTATAGGTAACTAACAGTTTGTATTAAACCCAAACTTAACCTACCTATAAATATACTCAGTTTTACAATCTACCTTATTTGGGTCACTTCGCTCTCTTTAATTAACCCTTCTAAGACGATATTCTGTATCATACAGAATAAGCTGTAGGACAGGATCTTATATCAAACGAGCTTACCATCAGCCTAATTCACCGCATACTATCTTTTTGTATGCGACTTTATCATTGAAGATCTTCGCAGCGAAGATAGACGGGGATTTCACTGGCATCATAGAAAAGACAATATAAAATTCATGGAGGTTTGAAAATTCTGTAATGAGCCGTTTTGATTCACAGACCACCACACATTACTCTCGTCCCGCGCAATCCGTTCTCCCAATAATGAACGGCCCGTACGAAAAAACATTCAAGCAGCTATGGCGCGAGCTTTCCAAGCAGGGATGGAAGTCGAGAAAACCGAAGGGGTTAAGTGTGGACTTTACCTATGTGAAGCCTGGTGTCGCTCGCAGCTTAGTTGCAGCACAGCGCCGCGTTGACCACTTTGTTGGTAAGTTAGCGCTCAATTGCTATCTAAAGTCCTTCATAGACTAAATAACTCGATTTGGCGTAGGAGAAAACGAGCTTATGATGTTTGCTCGGACTGAGGGAATGCTTGAGCTGAAATTACCGCTTCCCCCACCGAAAAAACTTGCTGCTGCGTCCGCTCGAGTGCTCATTGAAACCCCGACGACTCAAGCTGCTGCTGCAAGCGAAGCCCCCGCTGGAACTCTGGCAAATCAAGCCGACGCTACCCAACGAGCCTCACCTTTGACGATGGCGGCTGCAGATACTACTGAAGCGGTTTCAAGTCCAGCGGCACGTTCCCCTGATGAGGAAGCCACCCATTCATCAGGTGAAGGATCTAATCTGGAGTATGCAGAACAAGGTAGCGACAATGCGTGTATTCAGGAGGATCCAGAGCTGGACACCAGTGTCAATTCAAGCGAGAGTGGTCGTCACATTGGTGTGGATGCCTTTGACACCGAAGGTTTTATCGACGCCATGCGTACGGAGGTATTGTTCGGTCCCTTAGCGACGGACGATATCAACGTATCTTCGGAGCCATTTCCAGACGACGGAGAAAGTGACGACGAAGATGACGCAGTTGCCCCACCATCAGCAGTTTGTGTTGAGTACGAGAGTGAAATCGAGTCGGACACCGAATTCGAAGATGAGAGCGAGCTATTTCGACAAGATGACGATGCCATGCGCCAGCTCGGACTGTCCGGTTGGAAGTTGTATGATGAGAACCACAGCGGTAATAAATCTGTATGCTACAGAATTGTTGTATTTGAGCTAACTTATTCTGGATGGCACTGAATACAGGTGAGCTACAACTGGACAGTGCTGACGATCTCTACAATGGCACATTTGGGCCTACCAAGTCAGCTGCTGCTTTTGCTTCCTCGCCTCTTGGTATGTTTTTCCACTTCCTGCCAAAAGCTCTGTGGGTGCGCATCACCGACGAAACCAATGCGTATCGCCTGCATTGTATTCCAAGTATCGCCGAAAAAACTCGACTTCGTCAGCTTGCAGCTCACGATAAAGACCCGCAAAAACAAGTGCAGTCACTAGAAGAGATCAAGGCAAAGCTGCAGAGAGTGAAACCCGTGCAAGTTCATGAAATAATTCATGTCGTTGGCCTTCTCGTGGCTAGGACACTGTGTGGACATACCGATGGTTTGAGTAAGCACTGGTCAACACGCGACGACGGTGCGGTGCCTTGTGGGACGTTTGGGCGGTACATGAAACGCGACCGCTTCAAGATGATCACTCGGTTCCTCCACTTTGCCAGCGGTACAACAGTTCCAGCGTCAGGTGATAAGGCGTGGAAAGTGCGGCCGATCTTGCAAACCATCGAGACGACGTTCCGCCGGGGATATCGGATGGACGCTAAAGTGAGTTTCGACGAAGGCACGATCCCCAATAGAAGTCAGTTCAATCCTATCCGAGTTTACAACAAGGACAAACCGCATAAGTATGGCACGAAGTGCTATATGACGTGTTGCGCTGAAACGGGCTATTGCTCAAGGTAGAGCGGCTACTCTGTATTCATCAGAACTGATGTATGTCGTATTATACATAAGAAACTCACTTGCCAATGAGTTTGTGTATGTTATTCTGTATGCTACAGAGTTGAAGTGTACTTTGGGGCCGAGGCGGACAGAAAGAAAGCAAAGGGAGTGGCGCAAAAGGCTGTCATTCGCAACATCGCTAAGGCATTGGACGGGCAGCCTGGCAAGCGACTCATTGTTACCGACAACTTCTACAGCTCGTGTGCATTGGCACTGACCCTGTTGGACAAGGGCTACTACGTTGTGGGGACACATCGCAGCGACCGCTTGGGAGCACCCAAGAATCTCCGCTTTACACAAAAGAAACGACCAGCTTGGATGCCGCGCGGAACTTACCGAATTGCTCACTCGACGATACATCCGAAGCTACTAGCCGGTTCCTGGATGGACAGCAAGCCAGTAAACATGATTGCCACCGGGTGTGCTACTACCGTGACTAACGTAGGGAGGAAGGACAAGCGCACAGGCGCGGTGACGCAAGTACCGTGTCCGCAGCTAGTGGTCGACTACCACTCGGGAATGGGCGGAGTAAACTGGCATGACCAGCTACGACTCCAGAGCTACTCCCTTCAGCAGTGTGTCGTCTTCAGAAAATACTACAAGCAGCTCTTTCTTGTCTTCGTGGACATGGCGATAGTCAATGGGATTATAATCCACAAGTTAGTGATGGCAAAAAGAAACGAACCTGTACCCACTCATGCTGAGTACATGCGCCGGCTTCAGATGGAGCTGCTTGGAGTCACGGCAGCCACGTTTCGAGCCAACATGAACGCCGAGGATTTAGCGACCGTCCCAATGCCTACACGCGAGCACGTGCTGGAAAACAATGAGCAACTTTACCACGGCAAGCGGCGTCAGCATCTATGCAAGGTGTGTTCAGTGCTGGCACCTTTAAAAACCAAAGGCCTGGAGACGAGTTATTTCTGCAAGGCTTGCTGTGAAGCTTTTGACGGGTACGTACCGCTCTGCAATCGTGTCCGTCGTGAAGAAACCGGAAACAACCGCACGTGCAGCCAAATCTGGCACACGCCGTGGGGTAACGGCACCCTCATTCCACCCCACCTAAAGAAGCGCCTACGCTTCAGGAAGCGCAAACGTGCGGATAGCTCTGGTGATGAAGACGACGTAGAGTAATAAGCATACGGAATCGAAAGCTATACATCGTGGTCCACTTACCAGTTTGACAGCACACCAAACTTTTCAGCCAGTTCCTCTCTACTTCTGTCTCTGTAGTTAGGAACTGGCTGAAAATTTGGTGAGCGTCGCGCAGTGTGCGGCACGTGGCGCAGCCATCCAAATTGGCGCTCGAATCTTGAGCGCAAACTTGCTAGTGCCAATCAGATTCAACGGGACATCAACTTCACCAGTATAATCAATTCTATACCCATCTCTCAGCCAATAGAATTGCGTTTCAACTTCAAATTCAACACGTTTATGTCTAACCTCGTAGTATTTTTGTGCAAATTGTCAGGGTCTATCACACACCAACTGCGAAAGGGCTAGTATGAAGAAAATGTTTTTAGTTGTCGAGGTATACTTTAATTAGTAGTATTTTTATTCTGTATAATACAGAATAAATCTTCGTCTTAGATGGGTTAAAGAGACCTGTGAACTGCCGTTCACTGCGAGTTTGTATACTCTCGGAAGATAACTTCCTCTACCCGTCACACTGGCCGCTCATTGGCAACTTAAGAAGACAGTTGGCAGTCAGCAAAGACAAGTAGGAAAGAAATAGAAGAAAGTAGGACGCATTGGTACCAACGTCATGGCCATCGCTGGCTGTGACGTTGGTGCGTCGTTACAAGTGGCGAAATGCGAAGGGGGCACTGTAAAGTTGGTAATGCAGGCAACAATTGATCGATCGATACACGAAGCTAATATCTGTGACGGGGGTTACCTCATAAGTAAGCTAAGAGCTTACGTTACTGCAGTTTTTGCAGGATAAGTCACCGCGGCATGCATGAAAGTTATTCGTGTTTATATTATTCGGCAAATGCTTCTTCGGAGTCCAGTACTAGCTAAAGATCGCAGTTCGTTCATTCGGATTAGGACTCTAGTTAGCCTTTGAAACAACAGCCCGGCCGCCACGTGCACCGCTCACGATGGCACCAGATTTCTGCGTGCTTGTAGGCGTCACGTTCTTCCCCGTCATGGCGTTCTTTGATGGGGACGCATTCTTCTCCAGAGCTGCATTCTTTTCGGGAGCAGCATTCTTCACCTGCTTCCCCTTGTTCTTCGACGCGTCTTCCTTCTTGATTGCCGCCGGTGCCGGTGGTGGAGTCTGTGCCGTCTTCTCGAGCACCATCCGACTGGTGTTTCTTTACGCTCTGTACTTGAGGAGCTGCGCTCTTCTTTACTAGACTGACTTAGATAGATCTCTTTTTGATGGCTTTCACACTCTTATTCAGCCCGATCCGAGCACGCGGAACGAGATGTTTCTTTTCCTGAAGCGACATACTGATCTTTTAGTGTGGTTCCCACACAGACACTTCACCAGCTTCTTAAAGCAGAGTTCGAATTCCCATTCGTTACAGTGTTCACCACCAAGCTGCTGCATGGCTTCTGGAAATTTTTCCGACTGAGAACGTTCGCTACTTCTGGCGAATTGGGTGTTGGTCGAGCTTTCCGCAGTGTTACATTTTTTGCGAAAACCCCACAATAACCTGCTGAAGGCCCTTATTCGACGAGGTGAGCACGATACGACCGCTCTTCTCGAGGCTCACGATCTCACGCAGAAGCTGACATGAAGCGCGTTTCTCCGGTGCCAGACCAAGCACCAGACGCAGCACGAAACTCACACCGACTGTGTTGGGCTGCTTCGGCTTGCCGTTCTTGGATGTCTTTGGCTGCTTATTGGCGTTGGCGTCCTTGTTTGTAGGCTTGTTGGCGCTCGTATTGGCATTTGAGCCCTTGGTGTTCGCGTCCTTCGTTGCCGGCTGGGCCTTACCGGCATTAGCGTTCTTGCCAGCGTTTGCGGTCTTGGTGTTAGCCTTGCCTGCCAAC